GGAGAAAAGGCAGACAAAAATCTTTTGGGAGCTGTAGATAGTCTTTTCTTCACAGGGGTTCTGAATCTAGCCATGGTTGCATAACCATGGCTTTTCTTGCATTTGTAGTTTATTACAGACGTTAGACATACGGCGTAACTGTGTTAGGATCAGCTTGGTATACACAAAGGAAGGGTCTTGATCTGGGCAAGAGTCCTTTGAGCTGGGGGTGTGATTATTAGTATTGTAATGAGGGTAGTTCAGCTGAGGGTACACAGATCTTGGCTTTGCTTGCCAAGTTCTGGATGTTTTCAAAAAATCTTGATTAGGTGTCCTCTTCAGGCCTACTTGCTCCAGGATGTCTTTGTTCCAAGATTGCCAACACTATGTTCCTCTGATTAAATGTCCCTGTTATTACTTACAAAGTACATCTGGTATCAAAGCCATTACATTTTTGAGCTATTCTTTAGTAGACCTGTTGCTTGTGAACAAAGAAGGGCTTATGAGTGATGTGATGGTTGGAGGCTGTCATGGGCACAGCAATAACGAAATGATAAGAGTTTTTGGTTCTTGGAGAAGTAAGGAGGGGTGTTAGCAGAGCTGCCATCTTGGACTTCTGGAGGGTAGACTTTGGCCCGTTTAGGAGCCTGGTTGACAGAGTACTTTGGGAGGCAGTCCTGAAGGGCAAAGGAGTCCAGAAAGGCTGGACATATTTCAAGAAGGAAATCTTAAAGGCACAGGAGCAGGCTGTCCCTATGTGCCAGAAGACAAGCCAGCCTACATGATTCTGTGAGATATCTTGACCTATTTGACATACCACTGAGAACTTTTTTGGGGTCTTTTTAAAGGAAGATCACATTTAAGATACTAACAGCCTGTTTTGTTGTGCCCTGAGTACATGAAGAAGCCATAAAAAAACACTGTTTACTTTGTTACTGTTAAAAGTTTTAGAATTACCGATTAAAACACTGTTAAAGGAGTGATTGCTGCATTTCTGGGCGGAAGAAAAAGTCTGCTTAAAAACTCCAAAACTTTGGAGTTTTTTTATGTATCAATCGTAATTAAAGTCCGTGGAAGACAGTTTTAAAAACAGATGGTTTCAGTTGTTTAAGAAGCCCC